CCCCAAAACCCCAAAACCCCAAAACCCCGGGGGTAATATGCTCTATCAAATTATTTGAAACTCTGTATGCTCATAGTTATTAAATAAATGAAATAAACCTCATTATTGACTAATCAATTGATTAACATGAGATTCTTAGGATTTTTCCCTCTTTTTCTCATCAGATTTAATGTCCATCTTTGTTCCATCATATTCTTGTTTAGATTTTCATTTACAAATTTCTTCATATCCATTGCATCTTTCAGATCTTTTCGCCACATTCTACCTTCATAGGCTTGCCTCATTTTTCTAAAATCAACTCTATAGTCATTTTTCTTAAGAAATTTTTGTGACCTTTAAACCCTTTCATCTTCTTTATCCAATAACTTTTGGAAATATTTTTCATTGATTTTTATATGAAGCTAACTGTTTTCAGCAGCCTCTTTGGAATCACCTGCTACATTATTCCTGTCCATAAATTCTACTAATCCCATTCTTTTGTTAAAGGGATACAACTTCTTAGCAAGATCTGGGTCTCTTTAAAGCATTTTGATGCGCTTATCTTCTAGCTCAAGTTCCTTTTATAGAAACGTAATCAAATTTTCATTTTCAAAAGCTTTTCTGAGATGCTTATATGATTAAGCTACCTATTAGTAATTTTCAATCTCCCTCTGAATTTCCTTAACTTGTTTCTTTTCGAGATCATTTTCATCTTGTTATGCTTAGCTCAAGTGAGGCAATTTAGACATTAATGATTGCTGTTATAAGGTAGACTGTGAATGAGAATTTCTAATTTACTTCTTGTTGCTTCCTTAATTATTCTGCTGATACTGCTAAATAAGATCCGAATTGGTTTTATACTTTCTGAGAGTGAATGAAGCATAAAAGTCTTTGAAGTTGAGTGGTTTTTTTAAAGACTTTAGCTTTGAATTAGAAGTAGGGGATAGAGTGCTATGCATATTTTGTTTTTCATCTGAATTTCCGATTTCGAGGATTTATATACTACTTTTTCGAAGATTTGTATTTTGATTAGTAGGAGTTTGAACCATTTGGAATGTTGATTGTGTATCCAGAGGATTAGGTATGTGATCATAATAGTCAGAGACTATTGTCTACTTATTTGCTGTTATTTGCGATGCTTTTGGATGAAACATACTCAAAACATTATTGTTAGTTTTCTTGAAAAGGTTATTGATCATCGCATTTGTATTTATGTTTGCAGTTGATTGCGATTTCTTCAAGGGCATATTCTAAATTTTAGGCTTGACTTGGATCTCTTCGTTGATAGTTTTTCCAATCCCAATCTAATTACCAAATAGCTGTTACTTTGTACCTTCTCTTGAAAGCATTTCAGAATTTGAAGCTTATCTTTAAATCAATTGCTGTGTTATATCTCTTTTACTTGAATTGCTATTATTACTCTGCTTCATTTGATTTGTGATGGTAAGAATATTGCTTAAACTTTTCTTTAATTGCTTCAATGCTTAAGCAGAATGAAATTAACTATCCTCTACACTTAATGGTTTCATCTAATCAATGCTATTCTTTGTGCAACTTGAGATATTTCTTCTTTTTTTCCTTTAAGTACTTTAATTAGTAATCGCTCTTGTTTGTCCATAATCACTGTTGTTCATCCTTGTATTAAAATTTTATATATTTTATTTATATAGTAGATTTTACTTAGATTTTTCCCTTAATTAGTTTATAATTCTTCATGTGCTTAAAAAGTATTTTTTTAATATTTACGTCTAAATCAAATATCGAAAAGCTTTACTCGGGGTTTTGGGGTTTTGGGGTTTTGGGG